TTTTTTTTTTTTTTTTTTTTTTTTTTTGCTATGGCAACGATAGGCCATGGACAATTTTGCTTTTAATTTAGTTTACAATGCCTTTCTTTTCAAATATATTTTTTAAAAATTAGTTTCAATTTTTTTTGAAACATAAAATTTTGTTTTCGTTCGAAATAAATTCATTTTAAAATCATTTCGTTTTTATTCTGTTCTTGAGATATTTTCTTTTTATTGAAAATAATTTCTGAATTTATTTACTTTTTATTTTAAGTTAAAATATTTCTGTGATTAAACAAAAAAAAAACAAACTAACATTAAAATAAAAATAAACCAATACACCCAAAAAAGCAAACAAAACATAAATTTACAAGAAACTTGTTAAGAAATTGGGTTTTTTGTTATGGCAGTCTTAGGCCACCATACTACAGCGCTGTTATCAGTGTGAACTTCATGGTTTCGGGTTTCTGAGCCATTTTTTCTTATTTGATCATGATTCGAAATAATTCGGTAATTCATTTAGTAAGAAATAATAATTTAAAAAGAGATAAGAGAGCAATCCTTTTTTGAAATTCGTCCACCAGTTCGATTTCTTAGTGTAATAGTGGCTGAATTTCAAGTCGTTTAAACCCGAGTCTCTAGCTGAAGTATTTAAGTAAAAAACAATGTTTTAGCAACAACGTTTTTTTTTTATACAAGGCATTCACAGCAGGACTTTTTGCTTGCTTTTATTGACACACCCACATAAATTTCCTTTTTTGGCAAAAGTGTCATTTTGAAAGGTGTTTTGCTTCTCGCGTGGGGTGATTTTCACGCGCACTTAAGTTTCGCTCGTTTCACAATCCATGAAAAAAAAAAAATTATAGTGAGACTGCCAGAAGAAAAAGTATACCTTTTTTACCTAGCCAGAACCAGTATAAATTCTCCTTATTCCCAGCCAGCTAATTAACAAAACATGGTTAGGAACTGTGTAGCGCTGACAAGTTGATTACAATTAAAATTTGTCTTTGTGTTCTTAGCGCTAAAATGTTTGAAAATCCAGACGTTTCGGGACTACTGTCCCTTCATCAGTGGAAGATCTTCCACTGATGAAGGGACAGTAGTCCTGAAACGTCTGGATTTTCAAACATTTT